GTTTCCCTTGAGTGCCAGCGATTGCGTCATATTCAGATTGTTTAACAGAATTTATTATCCGTAAGTTTGGTGTTGTTATGGTTACGTGACCGTCTGCTGCTTGTGCTGCGCCTTTTGAAGGCTGTGACCGCTGATGGGTGAGCTGCTTAAAATGCTCTGTTTGGCGTGGAGTTGGTGGGTGTATGAGCAATGTCTGCAACGTTGTCATGACGGGAACGGCTGTACCTGCCCCTGGCTTCTGGCTAAATCCCCGCATCTCTGCAAGTTCTCCACTAGGAGCGATAGGAACGATCACGGGCTGGACACTGCCTGCTTTTACATCAGGATTGTAAGAATTACTAGGTTCATCTGGCAATTCACCCAGCCTTGCTTTCTGTGACATCTTTGTTTGCCATGCACGCGCTGCTATGTCAATCGCCGTCTCGTTCACTGTGGGGTCACTCGTGAATGGCCACCATCGTTTTTGCCTATGGGATATCCTTGCTTTCCTAGGCTTGCCATTGTTATCATGGCGATCAATGAGTGACAATGGTTTTCGGAAAATTCTTACAATTTTCTTTGAAGAAGTGTGACCATTAATAGGAAATATGAAACCTTCATTCCGTTTCCTATACGACTCTTTTGTACTCTCAATATCTGTTTCATCCTGGCCTTGCTTTTCACTAACTTCAGATACAGGTACTCCTTGTAATACTGTCACATCATCTATTTCAGGTTTCTCTGACAAAAGCCATGGACGTGTCGTCTCTTCAGTCAAAATAGAGGAAAGTAAAACAATAAGAAAGAGAAAAAGAACGGAAAGATGTGTGTTGAACATGGCTGGATTCTGAATGTTTACAAGTTGCTCTGTTCAATCTAAAATTATGATTAACATAACAATGCTATATAATATATTGTTTTCTGACATTGTTTTCTGACATCTGATTATTTTGTTCTTTGAAAATGCTATAAAATAAAGCTGTATAATTAGTAAAACCATTTTGTTTAGGCTAATTTATTGCTCACATTACCTTATTAAAACACCAGTTTTCTGACAGTTGTCATATTTGTTAAATTTGCAATATAAATAAGCAACATTTGGTAAAAATTCAGTTTTATAATTGACGTTGATTACATTGTATGGGAAATGCACCAAAAGGCAATAAATAATTCTGCAGGAACATACTACCTTGAGACAATCTCAGGATGAATGAGCAATCTATGTCCCTAAAGCATATACATCAATGTACAGAAATGAGAAATCACGAGCATATTTACAATAGGATTAGATGTTTTTAAACATTTCACTATTTCTTTTTGTTAGACTTTTTTGTTTTTACTACACTCCATCCATCAGCTTCTTCTTGTCTGTGCTCCATTTCTGATCCATCAATCTCCATCTCTTCGTCTGAAATACAGACAATGCAAATTCCCTCTAAACGGTCCTTCTGTCTTTGAAATTAAGAAATATGCATGTACACCTATTAAGTGAACAACCTTTGAAATTCATTAAGAATCATAATTTATTTACTATTATTGATGCAACAATACGTCAGACATTAAAGAAATTTACGTTGGGATATGTCTAAACTTTATGTCATGCGAATATACTTGCCATTGGTATGAGATTGAGCGGACGATGGAGCAGTATGGGGTGTTAGTGTGCTTGCTCCTTCAATCTGAGTTGTCCTATTATCATCAGAGGCACCACTCTCATCACTGTCATCACTTTGTTCCTAACATGCCAATAGGAAAGTAACAAATACCACAGTTCTGTCAGCAAATATGTTATAGTTTATTGTTTACTTATCATAACACGAAGGTGTTATGAATTAATTGCAGTCTATATTCCAGCTGTCTAGCTCTGTCAGGCTAGGAAAAGGCACAAATAATGTCATTTCAAGTGTGTCAATCTGTTTAATTTAACAAGATATATTGTTGCATGTTTCAACAGGATGCATGGGCTATTTCTCAGAAGTGATAACTAAGGCCTCCTCTCGAAATATATCACCTATATCGCCTATATCACCTAATTACCACAATCATTAGACTTGATAATATTGCCCCATAAAGTAAAGTAGAAGAGATATAAAAAAACAGTCTTACTGGGTAGAGACAGCTATGTCCGAGCACACACAAAAACTTACATTTTCAGCATTGGCTGTCGCTGCTGACATTGTTACAACCTCCCTCACTTTATTTCTGTCGGGGATCTTTTCTAATTCATTAACAACCTCTGTTGTCTTACCCTGAGCACATAAATTGAAGTACTGGCATAAAACCTTTGCAATCTGCAAGCGACATGGCATGACAATACATTAGGTGATGTCATGAAAAATCACTTTCAAATCTAGCACTAATCTTTGTATATCAAGCAAAAAAGCAGATTCTACTAATATATTATAATGAAGCAAATCATCATTGAATACGCATTAAAAGGAATTATTCGCAAGCGACAGGTATTATTCATATACGTGTTATAGTACCAGGGAATCTTAACCTGTGGTCCAAGAACCCCTTTGTGGTCCGTGGATGGGCTTCAGGGGGGTCGGTGAACCCCATTGTATGCAAAAGTTTGTGTTTATGTGCTTATGTGCATTTTTTCTGGGGAGGGGTCCTTAGCTTTCACCAGATTCTCAAAGGGGTCCATGCCTTAAAAAAGGTTAAGAACCACTGTGTTATACGATGCAATGTTTAGAAATAAACTCACATGCTGTAAGCTGCCGTCTTCAACCATTGTTTCAAATTCATTATTCATGAGTTCAGAGATAAAGTCCTCTACTTCAAGTGGATCCAGACCAGCTAGAATACAAAACGCACTATTATCAACAGGGTGCCAAGATATAGTATATTGACTCAAGAATTCACAACAAACTATTTAAATATTGCCTTCCTATTATATATAATATCATGAGCCAATAGTACATCAGGGTGCGAAATTAACAGGAGTCCGGAGTCAAATACTCCCTGCTTTGACATATGCAGGAGTCCGTGTGACTCCCTGAAAATTCTGCCATACCATAATTACTGTATTTTTTCAGCTAATGTCCAAAGAAAATTGGGCAGACGTGCAACCGCATGAATCTTAAAAATAAACGCACGCGTTATTGTTTTAATATCTTTAATTTTGAAAATCAGACTGCAGACTTCCTCATTTTGCTGCGGACTCCCTCTTTTTGAGGGCAGGGAGTCCATTGGACTCCCGTGTTCGAAAGTTAATTTCTACCCCTGATACACGAATTATAAAGTATTATTAGCTCTTGGTAGTATAGAGCTATGAAACAAACATTTTACTCTTAGAACAGCTGTCAAATCATGGATGTATCACCAATCTTTCAGGGTTTCTTCTGAGGGAAAACTAGACAAGGGAGGCAACAGCCAGTTTGGGGAAAAACGCGCATGATGGATTCAAAGGAAATACCCGGAAAGTGTAGACCCCACGTCACATGACTCAATAAATGCACATGGCAATCTAAATATGCCAGAAGCACGTGGTCGATTATTTTATCACAACGATCTATTTATTTTTTGGTTGAAACTAGTTTGGCACCAGTGGGTAAATACAGGAACATTTTCACACCGGCAATGTTAAATTTGACAATGGCGGTGTGCCACTGTGCCTCTTTATGTATAAGAAACCCTGTCTTTATAGGTAGCATCAATATCATTCCCAAATATACCACAATGCAAAATGATATCACGTTATATATAATCTAGTTAGTGAGTAGTTACAAATGTCCACTGAGATCCAAGCACCATATGTTATTAATATTTATATTATTATTATTTTTGCGTGACATATATATGCAGAAGAACATTACCATTATCTTGGAAGAATTGGTAGATAACCTCACAAAACCAGATTTCTTTCTGTTGGCTATGAACTCCGCCAAACCCTTGTTCCACTGCAAGCTTTAACACAAACAGCTATTACTGTCAGATATGACCAATGGCATGCAATTAATTAATACATTAAACAAACAAAGTTTATTTACAGTTTCGTAAGTTATTTAATAATAGTAAGAAAAATCTATTTAAACCACGATTGTGCGGATGTCACCAACATAATTATATATATATACTTAAATAAACACGAGACCATGAGAACCCAACTAGCATAATCATAGCAACGACTGGTGTCACATGCGGCTAGACAGAGGAATTGCTCCGACCTGTGATTGGAAGATAAAAAAATAATTTGTGACATTTCTCAAGACTGTCATTACTGCACAAAGGGTCGTTGTCATATAATGGCGTATAATATGTACCCGAGGTAACTATCTGATATGGTTAGGGTTAGGGTTAGGGAGTAGGCATAGGCGACATACTCGCCGACACCTCGGGTACTACATATACGGCAACGACCCCTTCAGCGTCAGTATTAGATATCTCACTGACTGTACTTACATAATAGTTTATTTAAAAAAAATTAAACGTTTACACTCTTTAATAGAGGATTCTCCAAATATTTGCTAACTTTCGTGAAGGTTTCTTGTTCAAGTAGCATTCGTGTTGTATTCAGAGCAATTCCTCCGTTTACGGTTTATCCGCTGACTGGCAGCAACCACCACTAATAAACAGAGGAATTGCTCCAACCTCTGATTAGCTCAAAAACATCAGCTGATGTGACGTTTTGACATAGGATGCCAGCATATGGGAAGGGGGCAGAAGAGAAAAAGAAAAGAGAGAGGGAGGGGAGGGTCTCCTTCCCTCACCCCCTAAAACTAGGTTTTGTTATCAATCGAGTTGTATGTGTTATATATTGACAGACTTGAGAAACGTCACGAATTCTATTTTTATCTTCCAATCACCGGTTGGAGCAATTCCTCTGTTTAGCCGCATGTCTGGTGTATATGCCGGGCTTTAATAATACTGATAGCATAAAATACCACCAAGTTTACACAGTTTACTGAAAGTCACACGTACAGTGCTTGAAGTAACACACTCCCTCCTCCATCTATCAAAACAAGTTATGGCATTGGCATGATGTGATACTGTCGTACACTACAGTCTACACTACACTACAGACTACAAATTTTACACCCTACTGTAGCTGAAGGGGTCGTTGTCGACTTGTCGTATCAGGTACTACATATATGTACCCGAGGTAAGCAAACATTAGGTTTAGCGTCGTAAATTAACTTGCAAACGCCACCGCCAGATGGCGCTACGCTGTCTATCGGCGTTTCGGGCGTATCAGTGAAACATCGTCAGCACTCTCGTAGTTCTGGTAGCGAAGGAGCAGTGTAGGGAGGGGGAGGGAGGAGGAAGTTTAGAGTAGTACTAGTAGGTGGAGTAGGGAGAAGCTAGTGAAGAATGAGAAAGGGGAGAAGGGAGAAGCTGGTGGAGAAGGAGGAGGGGAGAAGCTGGTGGAGGAGGAGGGGGAGAAGCTGGTGGAGAAGGAGGAAGGGGAGAAGGAGGGGGAGAAAGGAGCTGGTGGAGGAGGAGGGGGAGAAGCTGGTGGAGAATGAGGAAGAGGAGAACTGCTGACGATGTTCCACTGATACGCCCGAAACGCCAATAGACCGCGTAGCGCCATCTGGCAGTAGAGTTTGCAAGTTAATTTACGACGCTAAACCTAATGTTTACCCCCGAGGTACATATATGTATACACAAAGTGTACCACTACCAGACTTGTAGTTGTACTACAGAAGTGTACCCTAACCCCAACCCTAAACATATACCTCATATAAAAATATAAACGTAATACTAAACAACCTAAAACTACCTCGGGTACATATATGTAGTACCTGATACGACAACGACCCTTCGTGCCCTACTGTACTGACTACTGTAGTGTACTGTGTACAACAGTCAACACACACTACACAGTACACTGTATTACACAGTACAGCCTCAGGCTACGCACTGCGCCGGGTGGGTGAGGTATGGTACTGTTGTTGCTTAACACTATGTGGGTTGTAGGCTATACTGTACGTCGTAATAATACAACCCTTACTTGCAAGGCGGCCCAGCCATCCATAAGCTTACAGACAGATTCCCTAAACACACGTTGTTGATCTTGTTGTTGTTGCTGCAAGGAGGCCGCCATCTTGTCAAATCTGAGCCTACCCGAGGAATATTTTCACATTTATCGACACATTTATCAACTGAATTATTTGAATATAACTAGATACGTTATAATAACATATTATTAATTAAATGCAAATTAAAATTTATTAAATAAACACATTTCTATCGCTTGCATTTGAATATTGTAATAAACATGAACATTTTCTTTAAATACATAAAACCTCTGCTCAGCAAGTAACTACTCTAGTCTACACCTAGACTGGTACCCGGTCCCACCTCTCGGTTTAGGGTTAGGGTTAGGGTTAGGGTTAGGGTTAGGGTACTTCGAGTAATCGAGTAATCGAGGTGGGAGCGAGTACCAGTCTAGTCTACACCAAGGCGCTTGTTGTATGTTGTACATGTTATTTGAGTTCATTACGTGTGAAAATGACAGATCAAAGTAAACTATAAAAATAGGTATTTACTGTTAGGTTTTATGGTTAAGTAATTCCTGTGTATCGGAAGGGACACGTTATTAAGAGATAGTAGTAGTGGGCCAAGTAAATCAATTAACTCGTTCAAAATTAGCCATGGCATGTGCATACTGTCACTGATGCAGGTGCCGAGATGGGGTCGTTGTCGTATCACTTTCAGGTACTACAGATATAGTAGGTCTCAGGGGAGAGATAGTGAATATAGAAATAAGTTGTGGATATAGAAATCAGTTAACCCTAACCCTAACCCTAACCTAGCCACAAGTTCCCATCTCGCTTAACACTACGTGGCGAGAGGTCCTCCGCCGTGTAACAGTCGGAGAGCCTGGTCGGTTTAACCCTAACCCTAACCCTAACCCTATTTCTAATTATAAATTAAAACAAAATTAGCCAAAAATAATAAACAATAAAATAAATAAAAGACAAAATTAACTAATCAGAGCCGTTTTTATTGGTGCTTAACGCACCCTCTAGCGGATCACTATCTCTCCCTTGTGCAAAATTTTGCACATATGTACCTGAGGTAGTTTTAGGTTGTTTAGTATTATGTTTATATTTTTATATGAGGTATGTTTAGGGTTAGGGTTAAGATTAGGGGTAGGGTTAGTGTTAGGGTTAGGGTACACTTCTGTAGTACAAGTCTGCTACACTTTGTGTATACATATATGTACCTCGGGTACATATCTGTAGTACCTGATACGACAACGACCCCTTGAGTGTCACTGATGCTGATAGGGTCTATGTCCCCCAGGGTACTGCCAAAACGTACCCTGGGTACGGTCCGGTATACCGGAACGTACCTTGGTAACTATCTAGCTGATATGGTTAGGGTTAGGGTTAGAGTTAGGGTTAGGGAGTATGCGTAAGCGACTCCCTAGACTCGTTAGTGGAGTAGGCGAGGCACGGTCCGGCATATTAGATAGTAGTCAGGGTTGTTTGGGAAAACTCCCCTCTGTTTGAATCGTTGCGCCCCGTTTAAATTCCACCACAATAAAAGTTTGCCAGCGCGGGAATC